GTATGTACGTACGGTCATCTGACTGGGTAAATAACTCCTCTTGCCTCTACACTATATCTGACAGTGGAGGCTGCTGAGGGGAGAACGGCTCATAATAATGGTTGGAATGGAGTAAATGGAATGGTATCAAAAACATGGTTTTCATATGTTTGATGCCATTCCATTTACTCCATCCCAGCCATTATTATGAGCCGTCCTCCCCTCAGCAGCCTCCACTGATATCTGACTGGGTAAATCACTTTATTTTGAGTTAATGTGAACCCAGTGACTCAGACTTGGACCAGGACTCGAACCCTGGAACACGGATTTCAGCCATAGGAACTCTTGACTCGACTCGTGACTCGGCCATTGGTGACTAGGACTCGGACTCGAGCACAGGGGACTTGGGACTCGATTTGGACTCAAGGTTTAGTGTGTTTTCACATATGAAATTCGGTACCCTGGTTCGGTTTCCTGGAGCGTTTGTGATAATTCTACAAAATATGTTTTGCTTTCACAAGACCTGAAAATAACAGTTTCAGGGTGCGGTTAGTAAGAAGCACATTTACATGACGTTAGAGAGCTACAGTAGCTTGTTTACAAAGGGGGGAAAAAGTTCCATGTGACTCACGCTGCCGCGTCACAATACCTGGTACTCTGGTCCTGGATCTTGTGCCTCGTTCAAAACAACTGGGAACTGGGAACTGGGAAATCTCACTTTCAACTTCAGTGCGTTCAAGAGAACTGGGAATTCGGGAAAAAACGAGCTTCCGACTGGGAAAACTCGTTTTGAACAGTCATTCAACTCGGGAACTCAGGCCTCTTTCTAGAGCTCCGACTTTCTGACCTGAAGATCACTGACGTCATGATTCAACCTCGTTTTTTTCTGAGTTCCCAGTTGTCTTGAAAGCACCATTAGACCCACTACTCTTTTTTCTTGTATATGTTTTTCCCTAATTAGTAGTTACAGTCTTGTCCCATCGCTGCAACTCTTGTACGGACTCTGGAGAGACGAAGGTCGAGAGCCATGCGTACTCTGAAACACGACCCTGCCAAGCCGCACTGCTTCTTGACACACTTATCGCTTAACCCAGAAGCCAGCCGCACCAATGTGTCGGAGGAAACACCGTACAACTGGCGTCAGAAGTCAACGTGCATCATCCCGGCCCGCCACAAGGAGTCGCTAGAGCGCGATGGGACAAGGACATCCCAGCCAGCCAAACCCTCCCCTAACCCGGACGACACTGGGCCAATTGTGTGCCGCTTCATGGGTCTCCCGGTCGCAGCCGGCTGCAACACAGCCTGGGATTGAACCAGGGTTTGTAGTGATGCCTCTAGCACTGCGATGCCGTGCCTTAGACCGCTGCGCCACTCGGGAGGCCTACACCCAGTACTCTAGTCATGCAGGATTTGCTTCAGCCAGGGTTCATTTGTGTTTCACACCTGCTTTATAGCGCGGATCAGGGTACCAAATGCTCCAGGATCCGGATCCTAAGGGGATATGTGAAAGCGCCCTAAGGAGAAACTGTACTTCTTATATACTGTATGGTCATATTTCTGCTGTTGGGAAGAGGATAGGATGTTATGCAGAACAATATGTTGGTAGGACAAGGCTATGTATGTTTGTTCACATGGAAGTCAGTGATTTACGTTTACTATAGGTTAATGAGGCAATACCAAATGTGATGACTAAAATGAAAGGGCATTTAGTTGACTAAAAGGGCCCACTGTTTTCCTCATTTTGACCATAACTAGACTAAATCATTATTCAAATGTCAAAAATGTGATTAAGACTTAATTATATTTTAGTCAAAATGACTAAAACTAGACTAAATCTAAAGAAAGAGTGCCAAAATTAACACTGCCCTGTGAGTAATATAGATATCATTTCACCCATGCCTCCATCTTTTCAGTGGAATGATGTCTCTGTGTGCTCGTGTGTGTTCTGCCTGCACGTGTGTGTGTGTGAAAGGTTTATTGATGTGTAGAATTATGGCTGGGGCATGGCTGCAGAAGGGACAGGCTGGGGTGTGTTATCAGTGCCTCAGAGCCACAACGGACTACCAGTGGTAACAGAATCATACCTAGGGACATGCATCTTTGTCAGTGCCTCAGAGCCACAACGTACTACCAGTGGTAACAGAACAGAATCATACCTAGGGACATGCATCTTTATCAGTGCCTCAGAGCCACAATGGACGACCTGTGGTAACAGAATCATAGCTCCTACGAATACCCCAGTGATGCCCCAGGGATGAACAACAGAAATATCTCCAGGGCTCCTAACCATCTCTCTACATCCCCTGGCTGGATAAAAAATGGGATGTATTATAATAACAATGGATAGTATCTTTGTGCCTCTCCATCCATTCTCTGCTTTATGAAGTTAAAGCATGTAAGCATACAGCTACAATACAGGCAGAGACAAGTCTATTCATACTGCTCTCTCTCTGTCAGACTTGGACCTTATCTGTGAATGGAAAATACATGTAGTTATGAAGAAATGTACTTAGAAAAGCCTTATTTCATACCACTCAATGTTGCACAATGGAACTGCATCAAGTACTGATAGCTGGAGATACCAACTTGATGTGTTGTCATTATCAACATGTGTTGTCATTATCAACGTGATGTGTTGTCATTATCAACGGGATGTGTTGTCATTATCAACGGGATGTTGTCATTTTCAACGGGATGTGTTGTCATTATCAACGGGATGTGTTGTCATTATCAACGTGATGTGTTGTCATTATCAACGTGATATGTTGTCATTGTGAGATAATTGATGTAAGGGACTGGAAAGCCCATGTTAGGTCTTGTTTTTAATCAATCACACATTAGTCCCAACACCACCAAATGAAATACACCCTGGCTCTAACACACAGTCCCGGAGCCAGAGTGTGACAGTACCCCCCCCTAAAGGTGCGCACTCCGGGCGCACCAGCATACAGTCTAGGGGAGGGTCTGGGTGGGCGTCTGTCCCCGGTGGGCAGACGGCAGACTCTGGCCGTCTGAGGCGCACCGTAGGCCTGGTGCGTGGTGCCGGAACTGGAGGTACCGGGCTGAGGACCCGCATCTCAGGGCTAGTGCGGGGAGAAGCAACAGGGCATGCTTGACCCTGGGGACGCACCGTAGGCCTGATGCGTGGTGCCGGAACTGGAGGTACCGGGCTGAGGACACGCATCTCAGGGCTAGTGCGGGGAGTCGGAACAGGGCATGCTGGACCCTGGGGACTCCCATAACGCCTAGTGCGGGGAGCCGGAACAGGGCATGCTGGACCCTGGGGACTCACCTCACGCCTAGTGCGGAGAGCAGGAACAGGCCGGGCTGGGCTGGCGACGCGCACCGTATCCCTGGTGCGAGTGGCCGGAACAGGCCGGGCCGGGCTGGCGAAGCGCACCGTATCCCTGGTGCGAGTGACCGGAACAGGCCGGGTCGGGCTGGCGTAGCACCCCGTGGACCTGGTGCTTGGAGTAGGAACAGGCCGGTCCGTACCGGGAACACACACCACTGGCCTCAACCGAGGATCAGGAACGGGCCGGACCGGACTGGCAACACACATCAGTCCTTCACGCCGTGCCACACACACTTCCCTCCTTCTACTCGCCAATGGCTCCCGTACTCCGTTAGCCTTCTCTCCTTTTCTCCCTGTGGCAGCCTCCTGCTGCCCAGTCGCCCAAGCCATGTGCCCCCCCCAAAAAATTTCTTGGGGTTGCCTCTCTCTTCCTCTTGCCAGACTCGCAATCATCTCCTGCCACGTCCATCCTCTCTCCTCGTCCCGCTGCTTGATCCAGTCGAGGTTTCCACTGCGATCTGCCAGCGATGGCTCCTGAACACGCTGCTTGTAGTCAGCTGCCTTCTATTCATTTCCATGGGTAGGAGATCAATACCATGGTTGAATGATTGACCAACGCAAATTCAATTGACTTTTTAAATCTGAATGAAATCTATTCAGAAGCCCCAATTTGTCTGCTTTAGTTAACAGTGAAGAAAACAAGACGAAACAGAGAAGGATCTAGAAGCCTCTAGTCACAGAGAAATGCAGTGTAGCAGTCATCACTTAGCCATATATTTAGTTTGTAGATTCCTTGTTTTATGTTCACTGTATTTATGCAATTTTACATCCTCTGTTTTGCTTGGGGTTTTAAAGTAATTACAATCACAAATGAAAAGTATTTTTCCTCAGAAGTTGCTTTGTCCCAGCACCCAGACTTTACCCAGACTGTCTGCTGCAGACTACAAATGTAAATTCTACCTTCCTCTGAGTTCTAAAATCTACAGCACTGTTACAACTGTAGCTGCTCAGTTCTACCACAAACAAACAGACAAAACACCATGGAGAATCTTCAAGAGGGCTGTTATTTGGTCCACGTAAGGCACTTATGTCAAACTCATTCCATGGAGGGCAGAGTGTCTGTGGGTTTTCGCTCCTCCCTTGTACTTAATTGATGAATTAAGGTCACTAATTAGTAAGGAACTCCCCACACCTGGTTGTCTAGGGCTTAATTTAAAGGAAAAACCAGCAGACACTAGGCCCTCCATGGAATGAGTTTGACACCCCTGATGTAAGGAAACTTGACCTCTGATTAGCCATGATTGATGGGGTCATCTGACTGTTTCACCGGACAGACACAGAAACATGAAATGGACCTCGAGACATTTCTGTCCTGTCTGTCCTCATTGTCATCAATCCACAGACATTTACTGTCCAGAAGATCAGCTAAAGCCAGACGCTGGCTCTTTCTCAATTTTCCTGCCTGTCCTTGATTCCTCGTATCCTATCTCCTTGTCTCCTCTCAACCGTAGGTTGAAGGTCCAAGGTCCCTCCCCTCAAACCTTCTTTTCCATTTTGAGAAGGAGGTGACGAGACAGAATGTGAGGAATCGAGGAAAGAGGAATTGAGAAAGAGTCCCTGACTTTCATCTTGAATAACAGCAGCAGCCCCATAAAGACATGAACCCCCGGAATAATCTCAGAATAATCCATCAGTCTGTCCATCAATCGGCTGTATTCATTTCCAGGCTTTAAGGATCAGCCCCTCTGTTTGTATTGTACCCTGTATGGAGGATAATGAGCTGCAGCAGGTGGCCCTGACGGAGGATAATGAGCTGCAGCAGGTGGCCCTGACGGAGGATAATGAGCTGCAGCAGGTGGCCCTGACGGAGGAAAATGAGCTGCAGCAGGTGGCCCTGACAGAGGGTAATGAGCTGCAGCAGGTGGCCTGACGGAGGATAATGGGCTGCAGCAGGTGGTCCTGACAGAGAATAATGAGCTGAAGCAGGTGGCCCTGACGGAGGCCCTTTGACAGGTAAAACACCATCACCAGCTATTAACACCCTCTCAGGACTGACCTCGGCTAAAGCCACCCCACTCCGTGAACTAATAAGGGATCATTGAGATATATATTTTAAAAACATGGCGATTGCATAAAAAAATAAGCATTATGACTACTGAGTGGTGTTAATCAGATTGCGGACCGTAGGTGTGAGGCTTTGGTGTTTGTTGTGTTCTGAAGTAAATTAGCTTAGGGATATGTTGTTTGAGGTTACAGTGATAGAACAGAGAGAAATTGTGAAAATGTGTGAGGTGATGTCTGGCTACAGTGTGTTTTATTCACCTCTGCTCCTCTCTCTCTCTCTGTGATTCTCTCTCTCGCTCTGTTTCTCACATCGTCTCTCTCTCCCTTCCTTCTCTCTCTCCCTCACCCTCCCTCTGCCCTCCCTCTCTCTGACCATATTTTTTTCTTGTTATTCTGGTGGCGGCTGAGTGCGGTGCTGCTGAACGCCCGGCTGGCTGAGTGCGGTGCTGCTGAACACCCGGCTGGCTGAGTGCGGTGCTGCTGAACGCCCGGCTGGCTGAGTGCGGTGCTGCTGAACGCCCGGGCAGCAGGAAGCAGACAGAGCCACAGCCACCCAGCCAGCCTCACATTCTCCTCACGTCATCACGCTAATGCAAGGCCAACCACCTGCCCCTGCTCCCACCTCCCGTTATCAACAGGCCCTTTATCTTAGTACACACACAAAGAAACAGGGCCCTGTGCCCAAACATGGACATGGACTCCATTTATATTTAGACAGCCCCCAACAGGGCACTGTGCCCTAACACATGGACTCCATTTATATTTAGACAGCCCCCAACAGGGAAAAAACATACATGTGTTTGATGTATTTGAAAACATTCCACTTATTCCGCTCCAGCCATTACTATGAGCCGTCCTCCCCAATTAAGGTGCCACCAACCTCCTGTGGTAGGTTTGTATAAATTAGGAGGGGGCTGTTCAATAATGGTGACAGAGTGGTGAAATTAGGAAGCTTAGAGACTTAAGTCATACGGGAAATAAGAGCAGACTGGCTCTGTGGAGAGAGAGATCAATATGCTCTGTGGAGTGCAGAGAGAGATCAATATACTCTGTGAGGTGCAGAGAGAGATCAATATGCTCTGTGGAGTGCAGAGAGAGATCAATATACTCTGTGGAGTGCAGAGAGAGATCAACATACTCTGTGGAGTGCAGGTATAGATCAATATACTCTGTGGAGTGCAGAGAGAGATCAATATGCAACGCGTTTGGCATCAGTTGCTGGGACCGCTGCTGTCTGTCCAGGGATCCTGCCGACCAAGGGTTTGATAATGAGCTGCTTGGCGTAGCAGCTACCCTAGCTGCCACTGTTAGCTGCCTATCAAGCTAGCAGGGTTTCTTGAGGGCTTGAATGCAGCCCGCAACGCGGTTAGCCCTTATGGCTGGGACCACGGATTGTCCCGGGCTTGTGGCTGTCTAGATCCCTACTGTTTGTTGCTGTTTCCATCTTCCCTGCGACTTGCCCTGTCTGGAATTGCGGGGAGTAACAGCGTAGCCTACATTGCTACGATGACTAAGACCAAAGCTGGTGGGAGTACCGTTGAAGACAGTGGTGTCTCTCTATCACAGGTGAAGGATCTTTTAAACAAATATAAAGAGTTCTACAAGCAGTTGTTACAACAACAAGAAAATAGCTTCAAGTGTTGTGTCCAAATACTGGTGGAGTCAACTAATAAAATAATGGACGACCTGACCAGAGAGGTCCAGGACCTGAAAAACAGCTCCATGAGTTTAAACAGGAAAACGGCAAGATGACAACAATCTTTAAGTCATTGAGAGAGGACATTAGTTCTGTATGTGAATCCATGATAACAATAACAGAGAAATCAGATTATCTCGATGGACAATCAAGACGGAACAACATTATTGTAGACGGAATTGCAGAATCTCCACATGAGATCTGGACGGAGTCTGAGGACAAAGTGAGTGAAATTATCTCGGAAGATCACTGAAGATGGACCACAGAAAGATTGAGTTGGAGCGCGTCAACAGGACTGGAAAACCCACCACTGGCCCAAGTGACAGGCCCAGTCCGATAGTCGTCAAGTTCCTGAGGTTCAAGGACAAGGTAGCGGTTTTGGAAAGAGCCAAGAATTTGAGGGGAACGTATATCTTCCTCAACGAGGACTATCCTGAAGATGTGCGCAAGAAGAGAAAATCACTTAGCCCGGCCATGAAAGCTGCCAGAGCGCGTGGGGACATTGCTTACATCTGCTATGACAGGCTCATTGTTCACCCTCCCTCCCAAAAGCCTAGAAGGGATGAGAGAGCCAAGCCTATGGATTCGTAGCTTCAACCCCGCAGCACACACACTTACACACACCAACTGATTAATGGACTGCTGAATGTATATAGTTTTTTTGTTCTTTTGCTTTTTTGTTCTTTTCCATATTATGTCTATCTCTAATAAGCTACACAGGAAAGGGCTGAAAATAGCACATATTAATATATGTAGCCTTAGAAATAAGGTTCATGAAATCAATAACTTTCTAACATCAGATAACATTAATATATTAGCCATTTCTGAGACTCACTTAGATGATTCATTTGATGATACAGCAGCAGCAATACAAGGATATAACATCTATAGAAGAGACAGAAATGCTTATGGGGGAGGAGTGGCTGTATATATTCAGAGCCTTATCACAGTAATGCTTAGAGAAGGTTCTCATGTCAAGTGTTATTGAAGTACTGTGGCTGCAGGTTCACCTGCCTCATGTAAAGCCTATTCTTTTGGGGTGTTGCTATAGGCCACCAAGTGCGAACAGTCAGTATCTAAATAATATGTGTGAAATGCTTGATAGTGTATGTGATGTAAACAGAGAGGTCTACTTTCTTGGGGACCTGAATATTACTGGTTTTCAGCAAGCTGCCCGCTCAAGAGGAAGCTTCTTACTGTAACCAGTGCCTGTAATCTGATTCAGGTTATTAATGAACCTACCAGGGTGTTTACAAACACTATAGGAACAAGATCATCCACATGTCTCGATCACATTTTTACTAATACTGTAGAACTTTGTTCTAAAGTTGTATCCATACACCATTGGATGCAGTGATCACAAATGGCTATATCCAGGAAAGCCAAGGTAAAAATAACTGGGCCTAAAATAGTGTACAGTCGTGGTCAAACGTTTTGACAATGACACAAGTATTGGTCTTCACAAAGTTTGCTGCTTCAGTGTATTTAGATATTTTTGTCAGATGTTACTATGGTATACTGAAGTATAATTACAAGCATTCCATAAGTGTCAAAGGCTTTTATTGACAATTACATAAAGTTTATGCAAAGAATCAATATTTGCAGTGTTGACCCTTCTTTTTCAAGATCTCTGCAATCCGCCCTGGCATGCTGTCAATTAACTTCTGGGCCACATCCTGACTGATGGCAGCCCATTCTTGCATAATTAATGCTTGGAGTTTGTCAGAATTTGTGGGTTTTTGTTTGTCCACCCACCTCTTGAGGATCGACCACAAGTTCTCAATGGGATTAAGGTCTGGGGAGTTTCCTGGCCATGGACCCAAAATGTCGATTCCTGGCCATGGACCAAACGTGTTCTATACTCCTGAGTGGCGCAGTGGTCTAAGGCACTGCATCACAGTGCTAACTGTGCCACTAGAGATCCTGGTTCGAATCCAGGCTCTGTCGCCGCCGGCCGCGACCGGGAGACTCATGGGCGGCGCACAATTGGCCCAGCGTCGTCCAGGGTAGGGGAGGGAATGGCCGGCAGGGATGTAGCTCAGTTGATAGAGCATGGCGTTTGCAACGCCAGGGTTGTGGGTTCGATTCCCACGGGGGGCCAGTATAAAAAAAATATGTATTCACTAACTGTAAGTCGCTCTGGATGAGAGCGTCTGCTAAATGACTAAAATGTAAATGTTGTTCCCCGAGCCACTTAGTTATCACTTTTGCATTATGGCAAGGTGCTCCATCATGCTGGAAAAGGCATTGTTCGTCACTAAACTGTTCTTGGATGGTTGGGAGAAGTTGCTCTCGTAGGATGTGTTGGTACCATTCTTTATTCATGGCTGTGTTCTTAGGCAAAATTGTGAGTGAGCCCACTCCCTTGGCTCAGAAGCAACCCCACACATGAATGGTCTCAGGATGCTTTACTGTTGGCATGACACAGGACTGATGGTAGCGCTCACCTTGTCTTCTCCGGACAAGCTTTTCCCGGATGCCCCAAACAATCGGAAAGGGGATTCATCAGAGAAAATGACTTTACCCCAGTCCTCAGCAGTCCAATCCCTGTACCTTTTGCAGAGTATCAGTCTGTCGCTGCCATTCTTGACACCAGGCCATCCTCCAAAAGTCTTTGCCTCACTGTGCGTGCAGATGCACTCACACCTGCATGCTGCCGTTCCTGCTGCAAGCTCTGCACTGGTGGTGCCCCAATCCCGCAGCTGAATCAACTTTAGGAGACGGTCCTGGCGCTTGCTGGACTTTCTTGGGCGCCCTGAAGCCTTCTTCACAACAATTGAACCTCTCTCCTTGAAGTTCTTGATGATCCGATAAATGGTTGATTTAGGTGCAATCTTACTAGCAGCAATATCCTTGCCTGTGAAGCCCTTTTTGTGCAAAGCAATGATGACGGCATGTGTTTCCTTGCAGGTAACCATGGTTAACAGAGGAAGAACAATAATTTCAAGCACCACCCTCCTTTTAAAGCTTCCAGTCTGTTATACTAACTCAATCAGCATGACAGAGTGATCTCCAGCCTTGTCCTCGTCAACACTCTCACCTGTGTTAACGAGAGAATCACTGACATGATGTCAGCTGGTCCTTTTGTGGCAGGGCTGAAATGCAGTGGAAATGTTTTTTGGGGATTAAGTTCATTTTCATGGCAAAGAGGGACTTTGCAATTAATTGCAATTCATCTGATCACTCTTCATAACATTCTGGAGTATATGCAAATTGACCGTTTTTGCTGTGACTCTATGTGGATGATGTAAAAAAAGATTTGTTGGTCTGATGTGATTAATAAGGAGCATCCAGTCGCTGCACTTGATGAATTTATGAAATTGCTTCTTCCAATTATTGATAAACATGCACCTGTTAAGAAACTGACTGTTAGAACTGTTAAGGCTCAATGGATTGATGAGGAATTGAAAAATGTATGGTTGAAAGAGATGGGGCAAAAGTAGTGGCCCCCCGTGTAGCTCAGTTGGTAGAGCATGGTGTTTGCAACGCCAGGGTTGTGGGTTCGTTTCCCACGGGGGGCCAGTATGAGAAAAAAAAAATGGTATGCACTCACTAACTGTAAGTTGCTCTGAATAAGAGTGTCTGCTAAATGACTTAAATGTAATATGTTTGGCTGCACATCTGACTGGCTGAATTACTGCAAATTGAGAAATGTAACAAGAAGAAGAAACTGTATTATGAAGCCGAGATCAATGATATAAAGAATGATGGAAAAAAAATGTGCAGTACTATAAATGAAATTATTCAACTTGCCAATTATTTTAATGATTGCTTCATTGGCAAAGTGGGCAAACTTAAGCAGGAATTGCCAACAACGAACAGTGAGCCATTGTATTCATGTAGAAAAAAAACTAATAATGAAAGAAAAGCATTGTAAATTTGAATTTTGTAAAGTTAGTGTGGGAGAGGTGGAAAAATTATTGTTATCAATCAATAATGACAAACCTCCTGGCTTTAACAACTTAAATGGAAGGCTACTGAGGATGTAGTTGACTATAGCCACTCCTATCTGTCATATCTTTAATCTGAGTCTAGAGGAAGGTGTTTGTCCTCAGGCCTGGAGGGAAGCCAAAGTCATTCCTCTACCCAAGAGTGGTAAAGCAGGCCTTTCCTGGTTCTAACAGCAGACCAATCAGCTTATTGCAAGCTCTTAGCAAACTGTTTGACCAAATACAATGCTATTTCTCTGTAGACAAATTGACAACATACTTTCAGCATGCTTATAGAGAAGGGCTCTCAACATGTACTTCACTGACACAAATAGCTGATGATTGGTTGAAAGAAATTGATAATAAGAATATTGTGGAAGCTGTATTGTTAGATTTCAGTGCAGCCTTTGATATTATTGACCATAACCTGTTGTTGAGAACTTTTTTATGGCTTTTCAACCTCTGCCATATTGTGGATTCAGAGCTATCTATCTAATATATATCAGAGGGTTTTCTTTAATGGAAGCTTCTCTAATGTCAAACATGTTGGTTGTGGTGTACCGCAGGGCAGTTCTCTAGGCCCTCTACTTTTTTTTATTTTTTACAAATGACCTGCAATTAAACAATACCTGTGTGTCCATGTATGCTGATGATTCAACCATATACGTGTCAGCAACAACAGCTAATGAAGTCACTGAAACCCTTAACAAGGAGTTGCAGTCAGCTTTGGAATGGGTGGCCAGTAATAAACTGGTCCTCAACATTTCTAAAACTAAGAGCATTTTATTTGGTACAAATCATTCCCTAAGCTCTAGACCTCAGCTGAATCTAGTAATGAACTAAATTACTTGGTGTTACCTTAGATTGTAAACTGTCATGGTCAAAATATATAGATTCAATGGTTGTAAAGATGGGTAGAGGTCTAACCATCATAAAGAGATGTTCTGCTTTTTTGACACCACACTCCACAAAGCAAGTCCTGCAGGCTCTAGTTTTATTTCATCTTGATTATTGTCCAGCCATGTGGTCAAGTGCTGCTAAGAAAGACCTAGTTAAGCTGCAGCTGGCCCAGAACAGAGCAACACATCTTGCTCTTCATTGTAATCATAGGGCTAATGTAAATACTATGCATGCCAGTCTCTCTTGGCTAAGAGTTGAGGAGAGACTGACTGCATTACTTCTTATTTTTATAAGAAACATGAATGTGTTGAAAATTCCAAATTATTTTCAAAGTCAAGTTACGCACAGCTCTGACACACACACTTACCCCACCAGACATGCCACCAGGGGTATTTTCATAGTCCCCAAATCCAGAACAAATTCAAGAAAGCGTACAGTATTATGTAGAGACATTATTGCATGGAACTCCGTTCCATCTCATTTTGCTCAAATGAACAGCAAACCTGGTTTAAAAAAAGATAAAGCAACACCTCACAACACAACGCCTCTCCCCTATTTGACCTAGATATTTTGTGTGTATGTGTTGATATGTAGGCTATGTGTGCCGTTTTAAATGTATGTAGTTCTGTCCTTGAGCTGTTCTTGTCTATTAATGTTCTGTATTATGTCATGTTTTGTGTGGACCCCAGGAAGAGTAGCTGCAGCTTTCACAACAGCTAATGGGTATCCTAATAAATACCAAATATGCTAAACACAGATAATGCTGCCTAGATGTCAGCCGTCTACAAGACAAGACGTCAGTGGCCTGCCGCTACAGTACATTTCATATGAAATTATTACATTTTAAGGGTTTATCATATTTTACCCACATAGATCATACAAATCAAATCAAATTTTATGTCACGTACACAACTGGTGTAGACTTTACTGTGCTTGCGAGCCCTTCCCAACGATGCAGAGTAAAAAAAATAATAATACAAAAATAGTAACGCAAGGAATAAAATAAAATACACAAGAATGGAGCTATGGGAAACTAGATAGAAAGTATGTATGTAGAAATGATAATGGACATAGATATTTGCAGGTAACTGCCCTTTTTCTGGGCCGCAAATCGCTAAAAATAACTTTACCAAAAAAATATATATATATACATCTGCGTGGCCCTCCGTTGAATTTCGAAATCCCAATGTGGCTCTCGAGCCAAAAAGTTTTCCCGCCAATCTGAGAACGACTTAACCCACTGGGCACAGACTTCAATTCAACGTCAATTCCACATTGGTTCAACGTAATTGAATTTAAATATGCCCAGTGGGAAATTTCAGTCATGGATTCTTTTTCTTTAACCCCTGCCCACAGGTTGCAGGGTAGTAGCCTACAACTATACAGTTTTTTTAGGACAGTACATTTACTGTTGGAAGAATACATGGCCACTAGCAGTGGGTAGTATATTTACAGTTGGCGATCTAGTTCATGTGTTTTAATTTTCCACTTCCTCAGGTGTTGAACCCCAAATTAATTAGCCTATGATATTAGTAAAGCGCATAAAGGTGTATGTAATCTCTATTGGACAATAAAGACATCTGGAAATTCTGGATTTTTTACAGTAAAATATAGCAACTATATTCTATTGTCAACCCAAAATTCAACCCAAAAGTTGTCAGCGTGCACAGTGATATGGGCTGGTGTGGAATAAATACCAGGGTTGAATTCTTGTCCCAGTCTGCCCCTGTCCGGTACCGTTTGCTGGACGGTAGCAGAGTGGACGGTCTATTGCTTGGGTGGCTGGAGTCTTTGGCAAATTTTCAGGGCTTCCTCTGACACACTCTAATAGTTAAATGTTCAGACACATCATTAAACATACAATAAAATACCTTACACCGGAAAATAAGTGTGAGGTGTAGATTTAATAACTCTCCAGCAGTAGCATGGTTCACATCATTCTAGCATGACATAATAAACAAATGTTCTTCGCTGAAATAGTTTCAATTCACAGTACAATGTTGCTTTTTCTGCATTTACAGGGCTAACACCATTTCTTAAAAACTTTTTGGCTCACCGATCGCTGAGAGAACCCAAATGTGCTCTGAGGTGAGACTTTATATTAATATTCCATGACACCTGATAAGGAAAAGGCGAGGGGAAAGAACTGCTCTCTCTCTCTCTCTCTCTCTCTCTCTCTCTCTCTCTCTCTCTCTCTCTCTCTCTCGCTCTCTTTCGTTCAATAAAGCTTGTGTTCGGGGAAAAACAGCTGCAACGTCTTTCAGTTTAGCCATGGGGAAAGTACCCCGGTGTTGAGGCTTTATCACCAAAAGGTCAGTCCATCCTGAGTCTGATTAAAACGATATTTCCTGGTAACAGTCAGTGCCAACCAGATGGAGCCATCATAATCGTATAAAGTACAACACAGCAGCGGGATGGGGGGAGGCCCAGGAGGATTTGGTATATTGGATATTGAGATCTGTGTTAACATATCGGTTCGACCTTTTATAGAAATGAATGTAAATAGGGATATCACTGGGAATCAGTTGCCAACCTGTGTTTTCCGCCAATGTTCCCACTCTCTCTCTCTCTCTCTCTCTCTCTCTCACCCCCCTCTCTCTCTCCCCCTCGCTCTCTCTCTCTCTCACCTCCCCCTCGCTCTCTCACTCTCTCTCTCTCTCACCACCCCCTCTCTCTCTCTCTCTCTCTCACCCCCCCTCTCGCTCTCTCGCTCTCTCTTTAACCCCCCCCCCCTCTCATTTCATCCCGCCAGTACACTGTGCCATTGTGGGGAGAGATAACAGATCTGAGGTCAGTGTTAAATGGATACCCACCTAATACTGACCTATAACTGAGTGAATGAGTCAGAAAGTCGCCTTCACACACACACACACTGCTGTAATTGAGGTTGTAAAGTGAGACAGGTCAACATGTTGTTTTGTTAATTGTGCTTCATTTGGCATAGTTGTGTGGTCACATTAACTGCAGGTTTGTTGAATGCTTAAACAGTCTTCTGACAGTTTGATCTCTATGTACTGTAACTCGGCTGAAGGAAGGGTCATGGATGTTGTACAATTCATGTCATACAGTTTATGAGTTTACTGTACCTCTGGAAATCATTCCAACGGTGACATCTGAGCTAAACTGAATCTGTGTACAATGTCTTTCAAACACAGACTGACGAACACCACTTTTCTTTTGTCACCGTGACCTGCCATCCTTTCCAAACACTCAACAAATAAGATCTTTGACTGAACTGAAGCCGAGCCGTGCTGTGCCGCACCGCACCGCCTGCCACCTCTCATAACCGTATGTATATTTATTCAGCCATTTTGTGTTTGCGGCTGACGATGATGATGATCATGATGAGGATGGGAGCTGGTTGAGTTGACACTCTGCAGGGCAGGCCCTTGGCAACCAGCCGTGCTACACTACCTGCCCTGTTTCTCTCTATCTCACTCTGAGTGGGAGAGAAATGACAGGAGCTGAGAGGAGCGATATGAGTCAACAGCCAGGTAAATGGGATGGGGGAGACGGGGGCAGGGGGAGAATGGGGGAGAACAGTGGGTGGTGCTAGAGACAATGGGCCTCCTGAAGAAGCTCTGTAACTTTCTCACTCATCATTATTCACGATTCATTCACGAGTATCCATAATCATGGTGGAGAAGTGTTTAGAAACATATTATATTCTTATTTACAATAAAAGTGACTCAAAAAATGACACAATACATTATTTACCATTCATTTCTATTGAGCGCAAAATAATCTGAAACACAACCAAAACAAACAGCAAATGCATCCAACAAGTTTGTAGAGTCACTAGCTTGATGTAGTCATTGCATGCTATGAATATGGACTTTTTACAACTTTAATACACATATAAGTGAATTTGTCCCAATACTTTTGGTTCCCTAAAATGGGAGGATTATGTACAAAAAGTGCTGTAATTTCTAAACGGTTCACACAATATGGATGAAAACACCCTCAAATTAAAGCTGACAGTTTGCACTTTAACCTAGTCATTGTATGATTTCAACTCCAAATTGCTGGAGTACAGAGCCAAAACAAACAAAAATGTGTCACTGTCCCGATACTTTTAGAGCTCACTGTATTTAAACGAGAACCTAAAACACACCTTTTTTAGCTTTGCTTTTCCTCAGGGTGCTTTTTTTTGTCTTTCAGTTTTTATTGTTATTCTTTTGTTTTTTATCCTCTTATGTTTGTTGTGTAGTAACTATTGCGTTGCATCCATGTCTGAAATGTGCTGTATAAATAAAGCTTGATTTGATTTGATAAACATGAGTGTCATAATAAACCGAGAGGAGTACAAATACTGAGTGTAGAAATGTTTTCTAGTCATGAGGATGTTTATAACAACATAAATCTGCTCCATGTTTTCATGGCTAGTATAGCTGCTGTAAGAAAGAGGTCAGGTTACCCTCATATGTTTCAAGTTTCACGTTTTTAATGTCACTTATACAAGTACAGTGAAATGCCTTTCTTGCTAACACAAAACCCAACAATGCAATAATCAATAACAATGTATTACTAGAAGAAGAATAAAACGAGAAATAATGAATAAGAAATATGAAATACACAATAAAGTAAGTAACTAAGCATACTATATACAGGAAATATTTAAAAACTCAGCTCCAATAAGATTTGAGGGCCCATGCCAAACTTTTTCAACCTCCTGAGAGGGAAGAGGCACTGTCACGCCTTCTTTACTGCTGTGCATGTGTGTTTCGACCATTTTAAGTCTTTAGTGATTTGTACACCGAGGAACTTGAAGCTGTCTACCTGCTCCACTGCCGCCCCGTCGATGTGGATGGGGGTATGCTCGCCCCTCCGTTTCCTATAGTCCACGATCAGCTCCTTGGTCTTGGTGACGTTGAAGGAAAGGTTGTTGCTCAGGCACCACACTGCCAGGTCACTCCTGCCTGTAGGCTGACTCATCGTCGCCGGTGATCAGGCCTACCACCGTCGTGTCGTCAGCGAACTTGATAATGGTGTTGGAGTCGCGCTTGGCCAACCAGTCATGTGGGGATTACAGACAGGGAAAAGGAGAGGTTGAAAATGACCGTGAATATGCTCCACCAACGTCTCTGTTGATTTTGTCAGGGAGCATCTAAAAAAAGGCTTTATAAAGTGCACCAAAAGTGGTTCTAAATGACTGGACACATAATAAGATTTTACTGATGCTTTGATTGGGGTTCACGGATAATATCAATATCCGTTGGGAAAGTGTGATTGTATAATTAATGTGTTTTAAAAAATTATACAATTGATCCTTACATCTGTGATGTTACTACAAGCTCCCTCCTGTGCTTTTCTGAGGTAAAATAAGATCTGATCAGCCACTCCACAACAACAACAACACAGGGTAAGTATTTTAAGGTGTACCTCTCAGACCTACAGTATATTAAGGTGTACCTCTCAGACCTACAGTATATTAAGGTGTACCTCTCTGCCCAGACCTACAGTATATTAAGGTGTACCTCTCAGACCTACAGTATATTAAGGTGTACCTCTCAGACCTACAGTATATTAAGGTGTACCTTTCTGCCCAGACCTACAGTATATTAAGGTGTACCTCTCAGACCTACAGTATATTAAGGTGTACCTCTCAGACCTACAGTATATAAAGGTGTACCTCAGACCTACAGTATATTAAGGTGTACCTCTCAGACCTACAGTATATTAATTGTTACCTTTCAGACCTACAGTATATTAAGGTGTACCTCTCGCCCAGACCTACAGTATATTAAGGTGTACCTTTCTGCCCAGACCTACAGTATATTAAGGTGTACCTCTCAGACCTACAGTATATAAAGGTGTACCTCTCAGACCTACAGTATATTAAGGGTACCTCTCAGACCTACAGTATATTAAGGTGTACCTCTCTGCCCAGACCCTACAGTAGATTAAGGTGTACCTTTCGGCCCAGACCTACAGTATATTAAGGTGTACCTCTCAGACCTACAGTATATTAAGGTGTACCTCTCAGACCTACAGTATATTAAGGTGTACCTCTCTGCCCAGACCTACAGTATATTAAGGTGTACCTTTCTGCCCAGACCTACAGTATATTAAGGTGTACCTCTCAGTCCTACAGTATATTAAGGTGTACCTCTCTGCCCAGACCTAAAGTATATTAAGGTGTACCTCTCAGACCTACAGTATATTAAGGTGTACCTCTCTGCCCAGACCTACAGTATATTAAGGTGTACCTTTCTGCCCAGACCTACAGTATATAAAGGTGTACCTCTCAGACCTACAGTATATTAAGGTGTACCTCTCTGCCCAGACCTACAGTATATTAAGGTGTACCTCTCAGACCTACAGTATATTAAGGTGTACCTTTCAGACCTACAGTATATTAAGGTGTACCTCTCTGCCCAGACTTACAGTATATTAAGGTGTACCTCTCTGCCCAGACCTACAGTATATTAAGGTGTACCTCTCAGACCTACAGTATATTAAGGTGTACCTTTCAGACATACAGTATATTAAGGTGTACCTTTCTGCCCAGACCTACAGTATATTAAGGTGTACTTCTCAGACCTACAGTATATTAAGGTGTACCTCTCAGACCTACAGTATATAAAGGTGTACCTCAGACCTACAGTATATTAAGGTGTACCTCTCAGACCTACAGTATATTAAGGTGTACCTTTCAGACCTACAGTATATTAAGGTGTACCTCTCTGCCCAGACCTACAGTATATTAAAGGGGTACCTTCTGCCCAGACCTACAGTATATTAAGGTGTACTTTCAGACCTACAGTATATTAAGGTGTACCTCTCAGACCTACAGTATATAAAGGTGTACCTCAGACCTACAGTATATTAAGGTGTACCTCTCAGACCTACAGTATATTAAGGTGTACCTCTCAGACCTACAGTATATTAAGGTTTACCTCTCTGCCCAGACCTACAGTATATTAAGGTGTACCTCTCAGACCTACAGTATATAAGGTGTACCTCTCAGACCTACAGTATATTAAGGTGTACCTCTCTGCCAGACCTACAGTATATTAAGGTGTACCTCTCAGACCTACAGTATATTAAGGTGTACCTTTCAGACCTACAGTATATTAAGGTGTACCTCTCTGCCCAGACCTACAGTATATTAAGGAGTACCTTTCTGCCCAGACCTACAGTATATTAAAGGGGTACTCTCAGACCTTACAGTATATAAGGTGTACCTCTCTGCCCAGACCTACAGTATATTAAGGTGTACCTCTCTGCCCAGACCTACAGTATATTAAGGTGTACCTCTCAGACCTACAGTATATTAAGGTGTACCTCTCAGACCTACAGTATATTAAAGTGTACCTCTCAGACCTACAGTATATAAAGGTGTACCTCTCAGACCTACAGTATATTAAGGTGTACCTCTCAGACCTACAGTATATAAAGGTGTACCTCTCAGACCTACAGTATATAAAGGTGTACCTTTCAGACCTACAGTATATTAAGGTGTACCTCTCAGACCTACAGTATATAAAGGTGTACCTCTCAGACCTACAGTATATTAAGGTGTACCTCTCAGACCTACAGTATATTAAGGTGTACCTCTCTGCCCAGACCTACAGTATATTAAGGTGTACCTTTCTGCCCAGACCTACAGTATATTAAGGTGTACCTCTCAGACCTACAGTATATTAAGGTGTACCTCTCAGACCTACAGTATATTAAGGTGTACCTCTCTGCCCAGACCTACAGTATATTAAGGTGTACCTTTCTGCCCAGACCTACTGTATATTACGTGTTACTCTCAGTGCCTACAGTATATTAAGGTGTACCTCTCTGCCCAGTACCTACAGTATATTAAGGTGTACCTCTCAGACCTACCGTATATTTAAGGTGTACCTCTCTGCCCAGACTACAGTATATTAAAGTGTAATCCTTTCTGCCGACCTACAGTATATTCAGGTGTACTCTCAGACCTACATATATTAAGGTGTACCTCAACTACCTATATTAAGTGTACCTCTCAGACCTACAGATATTAAGGTGTACTCTCTCTCTGCCCGACCTACAGTTATTAAGGTGTACCTCTCTGCCAGACCTACAGTATATTAAGGTGTATCCTCTCAGACCTCCAGTATATTAAGGTGTACCTTTCTGCCCAACCTACAGTATATAAGGTTTACCTCTCAGACCTACAGTATATAAGGTGTACCTCTCATGCCCAGACCTACAGTATATTAAGGTGTACCTCTCAGACCTACAGTATATTAAGGTGTACCTCTCTGCCCAGACTTACAGTATATTAAGGTGTACCTCTCTGCCCAGACCTACAGTATATTAAGGTGTACCTCTCAGACCTACAGTATATTAAGGTGTACCTTTCAGACATACAGTATATTAAGGTGTACCTCTCTGCCCAGACCTACAGTATATTAAGGTGTACCTTTCTGCCCAGACCTACAGTATATTAAGGTGTACTTCTCAGACCTACAGTATATTAAGGTGTACCTCTCAGACCTACAGTATATAAAGGTGTACCTCAGACCTACAGTATATTAAGGTGTACCTCTCAGACCTACAGTATATTAAGGTGTACCTCTCAGACCTACAGTATATTAAGGTGTACCTCTCTGCCCAGACCTACAGTATATTAAGGTGTACCTTTCTGCCCAGACCTACAGTATATTAAGGTGTACTTATCAGACCTACAGTATATTAAGGTGTACCTCTCAGACCTACAGTATATAAAGGTGTACCTCAGACCTACAGTATATTAAGGTGTACCTCTCAGACCTACAGTATATTAAGGTGTACCTCTCAGACCTACAGTATATTAAGGTTTACCTCTCTGCCCAGACCTACAGTATATTAAGGTGTACCTCTCAGACCTACAGTATATAAAGGTGTACCTCTCAGACCTACAGTATATTAAGGTGTACCTCTCTGCCCAGACCTACAGTATATTAAGGTGTACCTCTCAGACCTACAGTATATTAAGGTGTACCTTTCAGACCTACAGTATATTAAGGTGTACCTCTCTGCCCAGACCTACAGTATATTAAGGTGTACTTCTCAGACCTACAGTATATTAAGGTGTACCTCTCTGCCCAGACCTACAGTATATTAAGGTGTACCTCTCTGCCCAGACCTACAGTATATTAAGGTGTACCTCTCAGACCTACAGTATATTAAGGTGTACCTCTCAGACCTACAGTATATTAAAGTGTACCTCTCAGACCTACAGTATATAAAGGTGTACCTCTCAGACCTACAGTATATTAAGGTGTACCTCTCAGACCTACAGTATATAAAGGTGTACCTCTCAGACCTACAGTATATAAAGGTGTACCTTTCAGACCTACAGTATATTAAGGTGTACCTCTCAGACCTACAGTATATTAAGGTGTACCTCTCAGACCTACAGTATATTAAGGTGTACCTCTCTGCCCAGACCTACAGTCTAGTAAGATGTACCTCTCAGACCTACAGTCTATTAAGGTGTACCTCTCTGACCTACAGTATATTAAGGTGTACCTCTCAGACCTACAGTTTATTAAAGTGTACCTCTCAGACCCACAGTATATTTAGAGCACTGGAAGTCAACATAACAAACATATTTCCACAGATCACTGTTATTTGGCCGGACGAGGTAGAGGGGTCGTTACTATATCGGGACCTATCCCTGGAGAGGCCCGCACTCCAAAATAAACTCCACACACAAACACACACACACAAACATACACACACAAAATATGACACAAACAAGCCTCTCTATGCTCCATACGACCCCATACATACAGGTGTAGGATCTTAATTTGAGAATCTGGGAATTTTCCTGAAAACCCACACTAACACACGGTTATATTAACATATGCACTTTTCATGTAGCCTACTTTTGGACAGCTAATAGCCTAACCACCGATCAAGCAACATTATGGACTACACGTTAACATCCTGTTGCTGCAGGATTATTTTGCTGTGACAAATAGGTCAAATGAAGATCCTACATCGGCCAGGGCCTAAACTAACACATAAAGATCTAGCAGTGTGGAGACTAGGTGCAGCCAGCCGCCTAAACACGACGTATAAATAAACACAAGGTGGGGTTGGGAACCAGGGAGAGCAGGAGGCGGGGGTAAGAGAAGGGGAGGAGTCAGACCTATAGCTAAAGCAGGCAGACAAGGCTGTGTTTCGCAATAGCAGCCTATTATAGCTGAGACTGGGGCTCTTCAGATTACAGATAGCTGGCCTCAGGGCAGAATCACCACATACTGTAGAGGCCTTGTGTTTAGAAGAGTGGAAATTAAGAAGCCTGTCTCGCCCATAGACTTTTATAATAACGGTCTCGTCTCCTACACCCACATGAGGAGAACCTATAGGGAAGTAGGCCATGAAGAGCACTATAAGCCATTCCTGTACATCTGAATATCTAATCAAATCAAATCAAATCAAATTTTATTGGTCACATGCGCCGAATACAACAGGTGCAGACATTACAGTGAAATGCTTACTTACAGCCCTTAACCAACAGTGCATTTATTTTAAACAAAAAAGTAAGAATAAAACAACAACAAAAAAGTGTTGAGAAAAAAAGAGCAGAAGTAAAAAATAAAGTGACAGTAGGGAGGCTATATATACAATAGAATAAAGTGACAGTAGGGAGGCTATATATACAGGGGGGTACCGTTGCATAGTCAATGTGCGGGGGCACCGGCTAGTTGAGGTAATATGTACATGTGGGTAGAGTTAAAGTGACTATGCATAAATACTTAACAGAGTAGCAGCAGCGTAAAAGGGATGGGGTGGGGGGGGCAGTGCAAATAGTCCGGGTAGCCATGATTAGCTGTTCAGGAGTCTTATGGCTTGGGGTAGAAGCTGTTGAGAAGTCTTTTGGACCTAGACTTGGCACTCCGGTACCGCTTGCCGTGCGGTAGCAGAGAGAACAGTCTATGACTAGGGTGACTGGAGTCTTTGACAATTTTGAGGGCCTTCCTCTGACACCGCCTGGTATAGAGGTCCTGGATGGCAGGGAGCTTTGCCCCAGTGATGTACTGGGCCGTACGCACTACCCTCTGTAGTGCCTTGCGGTCAGAGGCCAAGCAGTTGCCATACCAGGCGGTGATGCAACCAGTCAGGATGCTCTCGATGGTGCAGCTGTAGAATTTTTTGAGGATCTGAGGACCCATGCCAAATCTTTTTAGTCTCCTGAGGGGGAATAGGCTTTGTCGTGCCCTCTTCACGACTGTCTTGGTGTGTTTGGACCATGATAGTTCGTTGGTGATGTGGACACCAAGGAACTTGAAGCTCTCAACCTGTTCCACTACAGCCCGTCGATGAGAATGGGGGCGTGCTCAGTCCTCTTTTTTTTCCTGTAGTCCACAATCATCTCCTTTGTCTTGATCACGTTGAGGGAGAGGTTGTTTGTCCTGGCACCACACGGCCAGATCTCTGACCTCCTCCCTATAGGCTGTCTCATCGTTGTCGGTGATCAGGCCTACCACTGTTGTGTCGTCGGCAAACTTAATGATGGTGTTGGAGTCGTGCCTGGCCATGCAGTCATGGGTGAACAGAGAGTACAGGAGGGGACTGAGCACGCACCCCTGAGGGGCCCCCGTGTTGAGGATCAGTGTGGCAGATGTGTTGTTACCTACCCTTACCACCTGGGGGCGGGCCCGTCAGGAAGTCCAGGATCCAGTTGCAGAGGGAGGTGTTTAGTCCCAGGATCCTTAGCTTAGTGATGAGCTTTGAGGGCACTATGGTTTGAATGCTGAGCTGTAGTCATGAATAGCATTCTCACGTAGGTGTTCCTCTTGTCCAGGTGGGAAAGGGCAGTGTGGAGTGCGATAGAGATTGCATCATCTGTGGATCTGTTGGGGGCGGTATGCAAATTGGAGTGGGTCTAGGGTTTCTGGGATTATGCTGTTGATGTGAGCCATGACCAGTCTTTCAAAGCACTTCATGGCTACAGACGTCAGTGCCACGGGTCGGTAGTCATTTAGGCAGGTTACCTTAATGTTCTTGGGCACAGGGACTATGGTGGTCTGCTTGAAACATGTTGGTATTACAGACTCAGTCAGGGACATGTTGAAAATGTCAGTGAAGACACTTGCCAGTTGGTCAGCACATGCTCGGAGTGGTAGTGCATCCCCCATCTACATCCTCCTCTGAGTTTAAATGTTGCTTGATTGCATTTTACAGAGATGGGGGATGCACTACACTCTTCTCATCACAATAGCAGTCTCTCTTTACACACTGAATAAGGATTATGCTAAATGTGGATCATTTGCACCTGAAAGGGCCAATTTCAATTTTGGACTTTTAAATTAATTATATACCTGTATATACCCATTGAGTCTTGAATAATATAACTTATGAATACCTCATGAGCTTAGTTCCATGTTCTTACCCTGTCTTACCCTAAACTTGTTTTATTCCTTTGTTTGTAAACAAAGTAATTGTAAACAAACACTGTATAGCCTCAAAACATTGTTAAAAATGTAATGTTGATCATATGGATGGTCAGTCCTTGCATCTATAGCTCTGTCTATGAATTTGAGATTGGCTAAATTTCTTCAGCCCCATCCCTCAGCTACACTCTTAGAAAAAAGGGTTCCAAAAGGGTTCTTAGCGGAGGGATAGGGTTCTACCAATAACTGTTTTCATCTGAAGGACCATTTTAGGAAGAAAGGGTTCTTTGATGAATCTTTGGAAGGCAATAAGGGTTCTTTGGAAGGCAACAAGGGTTCTACATAGATCTCTTCTGAATCTGATAGGATTTTTTGTTTCTTTCTTTTAGATAGTGCCTGAGCATTAGTGCTTACCTCAGTGTTTACACCTTTACATCAGGAGTTTGGGTAATCGTATAACTTTAAAAAGATACATGTGAGAATGTTTTAAACTGTACCTATATGGGAATATTTGTGCATGTGTCTGGTATTCCCTTAATCATTTTACATATACAGTACTGCCATGATTTCTGTCTTTCAAATGAGTATTTTATATGATTTTATTGAGCAAAGGCTAGGAGAACAGAAGGGTATGAGTGAATCAGCAGTGTATTGTACTGTATGGTAAACAGCAAATTGGCCAGTTTTACCTTGTGTAGATTCTTCACTGTAACATGTCTAGTGTTGATTCAGGAGTTAAATTAACTTAACACTCAGTGATGTAATAGAACCCCGGTGTTGGTGTTAATAACCAGAGCTGAGTGTGATTATGTCATTTTTTCTAAGAGTGTATTTGCCAAACCAGTGGTGGGGGAAGCTCTTTGTTATTGTTTTTACTGCAGGTTGCCACTTTAAAGAAAATAAAAAGGTTCAAATAGATGGAGAAAAACCAGCCCACATATAATTAAGCTGCAATGTCTTTACAATTTTGTGGCAATTAACTGCTTTGATTTCTTGTAATTCATACATAGACAATTATATAATGTACCAATAGTGTAAATCTTAATTCACACGAATAGTTCATCTAAAATGGCACCCTATTCCCTAGTGAACTATATAGGGAATGGGGTGTCATTTTGACTTAGCATATATAGATAAAGTCATTACCGTCAGTTAAAGGGATCATTTAAATTAAATCTCCACGTCCTTACAATTCAACAGTGGCTGGCCTGTGAACTCTAAATGAAAGCGTGGAAGACTTGAAGATGGCGAGAAGGAAGGAGGGAAGGAGGGAGTGAGGGAACAAACAAATTAGCAATAAGAGGGGAGTTTTGTGGCTTATTGGGGCCAACAGAGGGCAATGTTATCTGTAACATCCATTTAAATCTGCCATATCAGGTGGAGGAGCACATCAGGGATGGAAATGAGGCTTGTTCCATGGATGTTCCGTTCAACCCCGGTAACGCCAAGGGCAGATTCATACAAATGCAGCTACCACACAATGCATATGTAACGTTTGGAGCGCAATGACGAGGAGTGAAGGTGGAATGAGGTTTGAGAAAGTGGAGAGGAAAGGCCAACCCAACCCGTCTTCTCTGATAATGCATTGGCATTTCTTATTTCTCCTTTTAAAAGCTTGAGGGTGACTTTCGTATCTTACCTTCATGTATTTCCATTCCATATAGTGACGTGTGATGTCATTCCTAACCAGATACAGTACCAGTCCCACTTTTACTGCACATTTCAGTACAGAAGCTCACAACACTGTGCATTCACACAACTATAAAATCAAGTAAGCAACTTTTTCCCAATTATAGCTTTCCCACCAAAACCACAGCACTTACTGCCCTCTATAGCCAATCAGAGCCTATTTCCCACCAGCCCCTATATAGCAAATAGATATGTCACACACTGCTGAGATAGCATTGATGAAGATAAGGATTTGCTATCTCACTGTACTCCCCAATACATATAGGACACCAAGTGCATTCGGAAAGTATTCAGACCTATTGACTTTTTCCACATTTTGTTACATTGCAGCCTTATTCTAAAATGTATTAAATTGTTTTTTCCCCTCATCAATCTACACACAATGTCCCGTAATGACAAAGCAAAAACAGGTTCTTAGATTTTTTTGCTAATTTATAAAAAAAGAAAAAACTGGAAAATCACATTTACATAAGTATTCAGACCCTTTACTCAGTACTTTGTTGAAACAATTTTGGCAGCGATTACAGCCTCAAGTCTTCTTGGGTATGACGCTACAAGCTCGGCACACCTGTATTTGGGGAGTTTCTCCTATTCTTCTCTGCAGATCCTCTCAAGCTCTGTCAGGTTGGATGGGGAGCGTTGCTGCACAGCTATTTTCAGGTCTCTCCAGAGATGTTAGATCGGGTTGAAGTCCGGGCTCTGGCTGGGCCACTCAAGTACATTCAGAGACTTGTCCCGAAGCCTCTCCCGCGTTGTATTGGCTGTGTGCTTAGGGTCGATGTCCTGTTGGAAGGTGAACCTTCGCCCCAGTCTGAGGTCCTGAGCACTCTGGAGCAGGTTTTCATCAAGGATCTCGCTGTACTTTGCACTGTTCATCTTTGCCTCGATCCTGACTAGCCTCCCAGTCCCTGCCGCTGAAAAACATCCCCACAGCATGATGCTGCCACCACGCTTCACCGTAGGGATGATGCCAGGTTTCCTCCATACGTGACGCTTGGCATTCAGGCCAAAGAGTTCAATCTTGGTTTCATCAGACCAGAGAATCTTGTTTTTCATGGTCTGAGAGTCTTTAGGTGCCTTTTGGCAAACTCCAAGAGGGCTGTCTTGTGCCTTTTACTGAGGAGTGGCTTCCATCTGGCCACTCTACCATAAAGGCCTGATTGGTGGAGTGCTGCAGATATGGTTGTTCTTCTGGAAGGTTCTTCTAGAGCTCTGTCAGAGTGACCATCGGGTTTTTGGTCACCTCCATGATCAAGGTCCTTCTCCCCCGATTGCTCAGTTTGGCCGGGCGGCCAGCTCTAGGAAGAGTCTTGGTGGTTCCAAACTTCTTCCATTTAAGAATGATGGAGGTCACTGTGTTCTTGGGGACCTTCAATGCTGCAGACATTTTTGGTACCCTTCCCCAGATCTGTGCATCGACACAATCCTGTCTCGGAGCTCTATGGACAATTCCTTCGACCTCATGGCTTGGTTTTTGCTCTGACATGCACTGTCAACTATGGGACCTTATATAGACAGGTGTTGCCTTTCCAAATCATGTCCAATCAATTGAATTGACCACAGGTGGAATCCAATCAAGTTGTAGAAACATCTCAAGGATGATCAATGGAAACAGAAGCACCTGAGCTCAATTTCGAGTCTCATAGCAAAGGGTCTGAATACTTATGTAAATAAAGTATTTCTGCTTTTTCTGTTTGCAAAAATGTCTAAAAACCTGTTTTCACTTTGTCATTATGGGGTATTGATGTGGTAGATCGCTGATATTTTCTTTATTTAATCCATTTTAGAATAAGGCTTTAACGTAACACAATCCAGTCTGGGTCATACATTCTTCCGAAGAACTGTGATGTCCCTTTACCGTATTATTACCTAGGTTCGTTCCGTATCCAGAGACTTATCCTTTTGCAGTCCCTCACTGTTGGGCAGGCTACAGGTGACAATGTATAGTAATGAACACACTGTTAAAATGAAGTGCTAACACTAAAACTGGTGGCAACTGAGCTTCCACCAACTTGAAGTAGACAAAACAACTTTGCTGGAGTATTGAAACACATGGGTGTGAGGGTTATGAAAAAGATTTAAGATGTACTGAAACATTCATCCTGAGGTGTTCTGAAACATGACATGGTGTGTTGTAACACCACATAATCAAGAGTTGTGTAATATATTTTTATAGGGCAATGATCAGTAAAATATCAAGAATACAAAGGTGGTCTTGATTCATATTGAAAGGATGAATGAACTGCACAATGCAGTCAATCATTCAGGCCAGGGCGTTTGTGAAGAGTCACTGATCCATTGACTGCATGCTAACATCATCATGCCTACCTGACTGACATCAATACACATCCATTCAACCCTGGCTAATTCTCCTCAGGTAGGAGAGGAAGCTAGAATAGTCCAAGAATACAAAGGTGGACTTGATTCATATTGAAAGGTTGAATGAATTGCACAATGCACCCAGTTATTGGGGGGGGGTTCACTAACCCATTGAGTGTATGCTGTCATCATCATGCCTACCTGACTGACATTAATAGACATATGGCTCTGGCTATTTCACCCTAGGCAAGAGACAGGAAGCTAGAGCGGTCATTGTAGATGATCATAGTGGATGATGGGTAACAAGTGAAGCATTGTCTCTATGTACAGATGTAGGATCTACATTTGAGCCAGTTTGCTACAGCTGGAAAATAAACCTGCAGCAACAGAAAATGTCAATTATTATGTGGATTATAATGAATAAACATTTTTTTTAGGGGTTGCTACATTTTTCATTAGGGTAAATGAATTCTGACATTTTAAAGTGGAAATTACAAACTTTAGTAGCCTTTTTAAACCATTAATACACTACACGTTTGCATTTCCTGTTGTGCAGGACAATCCTCAGCAACAAAAGACTGATCAAATTAAGATCATAGATCTGTAGTCTGAATCAATTCCATCACACACCAAATAAGTCCTATGAACATTATCCCATAGAGATCTGTAGCTTTATTCATTTCTATGACAACTCATTCTTCATTAATGTAATAGCATCTTTTAATTGAGTTAGTTACTTGCTATTTTATTGAGTTTCTTCTTGGCTTCAAAAGTCAATGTGTCACCCCATGTTATCCCTGCAGGAAGCCAACATAGAAATTTGGTGAACTAATCTCTAATCTATTAAGTGGGGCCATGTTCCTCCTCCTCTGTCTCACACAATAGGCAAGACTGTAGTGGTCTGTTGTGTTAGGCGAGTGAGTGACTAGACTGTTACTTGCTTCCTGGAAAGGCTCCTTTTGGTAGGACTGAAATAAACCCATAATTTCTCACTCACTCACTTTAGTACACACACACACACACAATCGCAATCATACACACACACACACACACACACACACACACACACACACACACACACAGACAGACAGACAGACAGGTACGCACACACACACAATTCCCATTTAGTGCCCGGATTGACAATTATCATTATGTTCCCATCTAATCTTGCCTTTACAGATACTTAATTAGTCCTCATGGTTAATGTACTGTTTTAATGAGTAAATCCCTATACAGTCTAAAACCCTCCCTATACCACTGTGGTGTGGCATGGCGCAGCCCCCACTGTCCGTCTGTCTCCACAGTCATGTTGTTAAGCCATGCTGCTTTTACTGTAATTATAATGTAATCTCAAAAGGTAATCATGATGGACGTGATCGGTCACACATGGATAAAACAGTAGTTATCGTCCAACCATCCTAACCCTAACCATCCATTCAGTAGCTTTACTGCCGGTCCAATTAGCCATAAAGACTACCATTGGTCTGTTGATTGGGAAGTGGAGGCAGAAGATGTGAATATTATCTGCAGCCATCTGTTGTTTCTGTACATTTCCATACTGCCTGGTATTCCTGTCGTTGTTTTTGGCCACATAAAAAAAAGTAATATATGTTGATGATGCAGCTGTACCACAGGAGGTTGGTGGCACCTTAATTGGGGAGGACGGCTCATAGTAATGGCTGGAACTGAATTAATGGAATGGTATCAAACATATATGTTTGATACCATTCCATTTACTCCATTCCAGCCATTATTATGAGCCGTCCTCCCCTCACTAGCCTCCTGTGTGCTGTACAGATAATGCAGTGCTGATTTGACTGAATGGAGCCCCTGGACTGACACTGACATGTCTCCATAAGGATGCCTCCGTGATGCAAGCAGATGCACTTCACTAATAAATAGACATAAATAATTTAATGTATAGTATACATACAATATTGTGCGACAGTGGATTTTCGCCACTGGGATGAGACGCCCTCTTCTTGCACAGCCAGGATATGCAGGGAGAATATTTTCAACAACGCAGACACATGCAGGCCAGGCACTTGAGCCTCAGATGGTTGCTATCCTCGTCCTCTCTCTATGACTGTAGGAGAGACTCAGCCAATCTGTGCACGGTGACGCACCGCAAGGCTGGATCTAGACGCGCTTCATCATCATATTTAACACACCCACCCTCAATCTCACACTGGAAAGACAGTGGTTATCTTTTTCCTCGCGCAAAAGGCACATCTTCGAGAGAGAAAGCGAATCGGCACCTGTCCGAATTATTTGTTTGATTTGTCTCGTTTTGGTTGTTTTGTATTGCCTGTCGTTATTCGGGATTTGTTGTGTGAACGTTGTCATTTACTTCGTCCTGGGTCGCTTACTGTGCAGTAGGCTATAGGTGTACTAATTCACGTAGCCTACACTTTTTAAACCTACGGCGCCTTTCAACGTTCGTTTACCGTTTATCGTGGCAAAGGAGGAGTCTCAAATAGTCTTATTTTTTAATTATATTTTGACATTGGTAAATAGCGCTCTGCGGACTGGACCAATGAGTTGCCCATGCCCAGCGGATCCACGAGTTCACGCTCAATGGCTGGACCGATGTGCGCCAGCAGACCCCGGAAACACACACCTCTGATGGATAATTTATCTACCGTTTTCGAGCTGCTTTCGGGCCCTTTGCACTTTCTTTATACCTTATGTTGTGCATAAAGCCTTGAGGTAGGACTCGGAGTTGTAGAGCCGAAAGCAGTTGAGATAATGCCGCTTGCCCAACTCGACCTTTGGTCTGAACCGAGTCGACCTGTTTTACCTGGGCGCATGCTGAGAATCCTCTCGTTCTGAATCACAAAAGGAGCCTGCTGTCTGGACTTCTATGTGGTTGGGAATACAAAAGTTGAACACTGAAAACTTTAGTCTACTCAAGACGGCAAGAAGTGAAGATGGTTACGTGTTCAACGTGTATTTCATTAAATTGGCATCCAGTGTAATAAACATCATCAGTGATGTAGTGAGTCTGTTCATATGTGTGTTCATCATTTGCGGTAAATATTCACAACTGCTCAAACAGGGGACTATGAAGATGCTACTCTTCCGTAAATTCCGGGTTTTGATTCTCATGGTGTTTCTAATCGCCTGCTCGATGCACATCTTGATAGATTTGTTACCAAAGCTGGAGAAGCGCAGCAACATCGGCTGCTCCTGCTCGCACACGCCGAGCAAGGACCCTCAGAACTGGGCTAAACACCGAGCCAGGTCGGGAGTGGAGTCGGGCTGGCCTAACAAACACACTCTGAGAATCCTCCAGGACTTCAGCAATGAGCCAAACTCTAACATCTCTTCCCATTCTCTGGAGAAGACCCCCAAAGCAGGGGACAAAACGGAAGCCTTTAAACGGCCTGAACATTTTCCGCAAAATGGTGACAAGAATAGACGGTTTATACAGGACACTGTGGTCAACAAAAACGTACCTGTCAAGGGTTCAAGGTTGCTGTCGCTGTTTGACCACCCGTTATTCAAGAGAGCCTTACCATCTCTGACCGACGAGGACACCTTATTCAACGTCAACACAGACATCAGATTAGACCCCAAAGCCACAGAGAATCAGGAATGGTAACATATTTTTTTATATTGATATTTATAGACCATCACCACAATCTGAAAGTGATTATTAGCCAACTCAAATTCAACTCAAGACATGAACATAAATTAAACAAACAATACACCAAGGATATGATGTGTTAATTACAAATGTAATCTTGTTACTATACATTAATAAAGGTGTTATTACACAAAGGGTTATAGGCTACCTAACCATATTATCAAATGTCCCTCTTGCAAATTCAAGTCACTTTGCAAAACATGTCACCTCTTAACACATGAAACACTAAAACAGCTGAAACACTAAAACAGCTGAAACACTAAAACAGCTGAAACACTAAAACAGCTGAAACACTAAAACAGCTGAAACACTAAAACAGCTGAAACACTAAAACAGCTGAAACACTAAAACAGCTGAAACACTAAAAAGGAGGGCGGTCTAGGGGTTACACAAAATGCATAATCATGTCATCCTCCCCATTGTAATAACACTGATCACCTCTCCCTCCTACTCCCTCCCCTCTTCCCCCCCAGGCACGCTGAGGGGAACATGGAGGAGTACACTCCAACAGGAGGGGAGCTGGCGGCTGACTCCTACCCCAACTGGCTCCGCTTCCACATAGGGATTAATCGATATGAGCTCTACTCCAGACACAACCCAGTCATCGATGCCCTCCTCAGGGACCTGGTCTCACAGAGAATCACCAGCGTCGGTAAGTCAGAGGAGAGGAGAAGGTAGCTTCTCTATAGCCTTGTTCCAGATCTGTTTTTGCTTCGTTCAGCCAACTCTCATGCCATAGAAGTTGAGAAACTAGCCTGGTCCCAGATCTGTATGTGGTTTGTTTAGCCAACTCCTCTGACTATCATTGTCACAGAGAACTTGGCGAAGGCACATACAGATGGGACCGGGCTAGTTTTTTCTGTGTATGGCTCAACAACCATAGTCAGAGGAGTTGGCTAAATGAAGCACATAAACAGATCTGGGACCAGGCTCATTTCTCCTCTGTATGGCTCAACAACAGTAGTCAGAGGAGTTGGCTAAACGAAGCACATAAACAGATCTGGAACCAGGCTCATTTCTGCTCTGTATGGCACAACAACAGCAGTCAGAGGAGTTGGCTAAACGGAGCATATAAACAGATCTGGGACCAGGCTAGGTTCTCTCTAAAGATCTACACACAGTGAAATGAGAGGATGCAGGGTGGATGCAGCTTGGTCTGGCAGTATGGCCAGCTACATGTTGTGCTCCCTCCAGCCCATGTAATTACACAGCTATATGACTGCTGAGAGGCCAGGATGTCAATACCAATTGAGACTACAGAAGCCAGCAGTTGGTAGGTTGGGTTTTTCTCTATATAGCAAGCTACAGTCACACCTACTTCACTCATTCACAGAAGGAATACAATACAAATGATGAATGGATATTATATACTGTATATTGATAGTGTATGACAAATTCAATTTTCTAGTTGATAGGTGTCATATTTGGTAATGTGAATTTGCTTCAACCTAACCCACACTAGGACACGTAGAACATAGAGCCTAAAGCCTTTGGGTCTGTTACATGAGGGCATCTTCCCTATAGAGTGGGTATGCAAACAGTCTAGAGACTGAAGCATTGACATTTTCCTTTTGAACGGTTCACCCTCTTCTCTCCTTTGCACAGCACATGTCAACATCTCTTTTACATAAAACAATATTTTCTCAAAGCTATAATGATATTTTTGAAAGAACTAGTGGCTATTTCTTGGGGCCAATTTGTTTTACTGACCAAGAAAATGACTTTGTTGAATTTTGTCCCTTTTTGGATGTGAGGATTCCAGCATCTGCTCTCTGAACAGCTGTCTCAGGAGTCCCTGTAGAATGGCTTATTATGTTCTAAGTTCTAGAGCGAGAGAGAGAGAGGGAAGAAAGAAGAGAGCGAGAGAGAACAGAGAGAACAGATAGAACAGAAAGAACAGAGAGAGAAAACAGACAGCGATGTGAATGCACTCTCTGTCCTTCACCTCCCAGTCTCCTTCCTGATCAAACAAACACTGTGACATCATCTGTCACTCACACTGTGTACACAGTCACACACAGTCTGAACTGAATCGGTGGGAGAGGTTGACCATCCTCTGGAGGGGGAAATCCATTACGTATTTGATTAGATCATATCTGAAGATTTCATTGTACTCTACAATATCATCCAGGCTCCCGAGTGGCGCAGCGGTCTAAGGCACTGCATCTCAGTGTTTGAGGCGTCACTACAGACCCCCTGGTTCAATTCCAGGCTGTATCACAACCGGCCGTGATTGGGAGTCCCATATGGTGGCGCACAATTGGCCCAGCGTCGTCTGGGTTTGGCCAGTGTAGGCCGTCATTGTAAATAAGAATTTGTTCTTAACTGATGATTTCCTTGTCATCCAGTGAGAATGATTCTGCCATATTGTGTATTTGCTGTCAATTATGATTTGAGTTGTTTGTCTTTGTGTGTTTCCAACAGCCATGAAGTCTGGAGGCACCCAGCTGAAACTCATCATGACGTTCCAGAACTATGGACAGGCTCTGTTCAAACCTATGAAGTAAGTAGACCTTTTTATAACAACCAGAAATGCTTCTCATGGGATGTATTGTATAGGTTCAATAGGCTATTCGTACAGTGCCTCAAGGGGACAATCTAGATGAATAAAGGTTAAATGAAAACTAAATTGATTTTATTTAACCTTATTTGTATCCAGGTTGGCCATATTGTAATGATAATATACTTCCTCTGAGAGACTTGGTCCTTTAGTCCTTTTCATCATCGTTAGCTAGCTGGGTTTTAAATGTAATTACTTTTGTTATCGTAATTGGTTAATCATTTTCACCCTCCCGTGGGGGGGAGAAGGAGGAATAGGAGGAGGAGGAGGAATAGGAGGAGGAGGAATAGGAGGATGAGGAGAAGGAGGAATAGGAGGAGGAGAAGGAGGAATATGAGGAGGAGGAGGAGGAATAGGAGGAGAAGGAGGAATAGGAGGAGGAGGAGGAATAGGAGGAGGGAAGGGGGAGAAGGAGGAGGAGGAATAGGAAGGAAGCTATTCAGAGGCTGTCATAATGACTAACTCCTTCAGTCTACTCACATTAAGTCAAGCTCGACACCTCAGAGTCTACTCACATTATGTCAAGCTGGACACACCTCAAATCACCCTGACATAACCGCGTGTGTGCAGCTGGACCACGGTAAAGCGGCTCAGGAGGGAAGCATATTGACATTATAAACTGGGTGGTTCGAGCCCTGAATGCTGATTGACTGAAATCCGTGGTATATCAGACCGCATAGAACGGGTATGACAAAAAATGACTTTTTACTGTTCTAATTACATTGGTAAGCAGTTTATAATAGCAATAAGGCATCTTAGGGGTTTGTGGTATATGGCCAATATACCAATGCTAAGGGCTGTTCTTAAGCACAATGCAACACGGAGTACCTGGATACAGCCCTTAGCCGTGATAAATTGGCCATATACCACACCCCCTCATGCATTTTTGCTTATTATAAACTGTGTGGTTCGAGCCCTGAATGCTGATTGGCTGACAGCCGTGGTATATCAGACCGTATACCATGGGTATGACAAAATATTTATTTTTACTGCTTATAATAGCTATAAGGCACCTCGGGGGTTTGTGATATATGGCCAATACTCTGTGTTGCGTCGTGCCTAAGAACAGCCCTTAGCCGTGGTATATTGGCCATATACCACACCCCCTCGTGCCTTATTGCTTAAATATGCAAACAGAATCCATCCAGATTATCTCTCTGTGGTACAATTATATTGAATTTAAACAGAAACACGAAATGACGTTTGTTTGAAAAGGGAAAACCTGTGGTGATGTGTTTGGGATTTAAATCTATTTGTTGTCTGCGGCTGTCAACTCATGTCTGATATTATCTATCCCCTTGGTGTTCCTCTAATCTAGAGACAGGTATGAGGGTTGTTTTCACTCCCCCGTCTTGATACATTTCACTTAACAAAGCATGGCCATCAGAACTGTCGTGACAGCAGAGTTAGACCCCAATCTCCATCCAGCTGGATTGGCAGACATATCCTCTGCACTATTCCCTAGACAATATAGTGAAGGGACACACACACTTACATTTGAGACATTTAGCAGACGCTAAATTAACTGCCTTGTTCAAGGGCACATTGACAGATTTTTTCAAGTTGTCGGCTCAAGGATTCAAACCAATGACCTTTCAGTTACTGGCCCAACGCTCTTAACCGCTAGGTTACCTGCCGCCACACACACACACATGCACACACAAGCACGCACACACACACACCGCCCCATAACACCCCACCAACTCTCTCTCCTCAATCTGTTTGCGTGTTGCCACATGGTGCCTCAAAGAGACAGAGGCTGCAACATCAAAGGCTTCACAGCAGCTTCTCCTCTGAACACAAATGCATCATCATTTGAAAGAGAGGAGCAGAACGTCTGCGTACCGATCTGGCGATGGACTCCTTCTACCAATAAACTAGGTTCAGAATAGAATGGCACAGAGCAGATCAGAGCAGGTGCAGATAAGAGCAGGTGTCCAGTAGTGGACTATCTCTCTGTCCCTGTCTCTGTCTCTCTCTCTGTCCCTCTCTCTGTCCCTCTCTCTGTCCCCTCTCTCTGTCTCTTTCTCTCTGTCCCTCTCTCTGTCCTCCTCGTCTCTCTGTCTCTATCTCTGTCTCGTCTCTCTCTCTCTCTCTCTCTCTGAGACTCTCGCTCTCGCTCTCTCTGTTGTTCTCTGTTGTCTCTGTTGTCTCTTGTATCTCTATGGCGGGCGGAGAGAGAGAGAAGTGAGGCTCTATCTCTCTCTCTCTTCTCTCTCTCTCTCTCTGTCTCTCTCTCTCTCTCGCTCTCTCTCTCTATGATTCGTCTCTGTCCCTTGCTCTCTCTCTCTCCTCTCTATCCCTATCTGCTCTCACTCTCTCTCTCTCTCTCTCTCTGTCTCTGTCCTCTCTATATCTCTCTCTCTCTCTCTCTATCCTCTCTCTCTCTCTCTCTCTCTCCTCTCTCTCTGTTTTCTCTCTCTCGGCTCTCTGTCTCTGTCTCGTCTCTCTCTCTCTCTCTATATATCTGTCTTCTCTCTCTCTCTCGTCTTCTCTCTCTCTCTTTCTCTCTCTCTCTCTCTCTCTCTCTCCTCTCTCTCTTTCTCTCCCTCCCTCTGTCTCACTGTCTCGTGTCTCTGTGTTTGTTCTCTATCTTATCTCTCGCGTCGCGCGCGCGCGCGGAGCGCGCGCGCGCGCGGGCGCGCGCGCGCGCGCGCGCGCGCGCGCGGGCGCGAGAGAGCGAGCGAGCGAGCGAGGCGGAGCGAGGAGCGAGCGCGCGAGCGAGCGAGGAGGCGAGCGAGCGAGCGAGCGAGCGAGCGAGCGAGCGAGCGAGCGAGGCGAGCGATATATATATATATATATTATATATATCTCTCTCCATGTATCGTGTCTATAGTCTTATATGTATTTAGAGTCGGTTTGTATTATATGTCTATATATTATCTCTGATCTATCTGTTTATATATTGTATATATATCTGTATAGATATGTCGATATATATAAAGTATTAGAGATATAGATAGATAGATAGGCTATAGATATTATACTATATATAGATAGAAGTCTTATATATATATAATATATATATATAGAGATCTCGATATCGCTAAATATAATAAGCTATATCTCTATATATCTATCTATCTCTCTATTAACTCAGCTCTCTCTATATCTAGAATATCTCCCCAGCTATCTCTCTGTTCAAAGGTCTCTATCTCTGTCTTCTCATGTCTGGCTCTGACATCTCTCTCTCTGTCTGTATGTCTGTCTGTATGTTCTTCTATGATTGTCTGTGCGCTCTATAAATAGTATACTAATCTATATTGTTCCCTCTCTCTCTCTAGATCTATCTGTTTCTCTCATCTATCTTGTCTCCTCTCTATGTCTCTCCTGTATCTGTCTCTCTATATATTGTATTATATCTCTCTCTACCCCTATCTCGCTATCTCCTTTATCGCATCTCTCTCTCTCTCTCTCTCTGGATCTATCTCTTTCTATATTATCCCTCTCTAAATGTCGGTCTCTCTCTTCTTATTGTCTTCTCTGTATATCTGTCTATGTCCCCCCCTGTATCATCTCTCTCTCTCTCCTCTCTCATCAATTCAATCAATTAAGAGACTTTATTGACATGGCAAGGGGTAAAATTACTTTACATGGTCCAAACGGATACATATAACAAAAATGGTGTGTGGGGGACCAACAGCACAATAAGAATAGTAGTAGTGGAAATGGGATATTACCATTAAAGCAACTACAACAACATAATAAAGAGTTAACAATACATTAAAGCAATAGTGTCGTCCAATCTTTTTCTGGAAAGACATCGGAGAAAGCCAGAAAACCCACCAAAGTCTTCCTCCCATCTCATGCCCCACTGATAAGCCCCCCTGGTAAACGTTGGAGCGGACCCCCATTCTGAAGCTGGGCTCTCCTGCCCAAGGCGCTTCATCTCCCCCCTGACCTCTAGTGAGCGAGGCCCCTCATACCACTTTAAAGCGTTTTTGAGGAGACTTGACATCTCACCCCTGTAATAAAAATCTGTCACGTCATCTGCATACACAGACAGTGCTATCGTGGGACCCTTCATTAAACCTGGCACAGAGAAACCAGGTAAGCTTCGCTCTTAAAAAAACAAAGCATTGGTTCAATCGCCAGACTATATAACTGCCCTAAATTGGGCATCCCTGCCTGATGCCCCTTTGGACAGGGATGGGACAACTCAAACCACCCCCCACATTCACCATACACGAGGGCCCCCACAGCATTACAGTAATTCATCCAAGACAAAAAAAAACATCCCCAAACCCAAAGGCTTTCATTGTTTTAAACAAAGTACTGGTGGTCCACACGATCAAAAGCCTTCTCCTGATCCAAAGAAAGTAAACCCACATTTACATCAGACAGTTTACAAATGTCTAAAACATCTCTTATTAGAAACAAGTTTTTCAACAATAGAGCGATCAGGTACACAGTTAGGACTGGTCCTTGTGGACCAACAATCCCAGATACTCTTTTCAACCTGTTTGAGAGACATTTAGAAACAATTTTATATTCTGCACACAGCAAAGCAACAGGTCTCCAATTTTTTATGAGAGCCAAATACCCCTTTTTTGGCAACAGTGAAAGTACCGCACGTTGACAAGATACAGGAAGAGAGCCCTCATGAAAAGATTCACACACCACTTCATAAAAATCCTCCCCAATAGACCCCCAAAAGTGCTTATAAAACTCAGATGGTAAACCATCAATGCCAGGGGCTCGGCCTGTTGAGAGCTGCATAACTGCTGTGGACAGCTCTAGCAGTGTAATGTCAGAGTCCAATGCGACTCTTTGCTCAGGTCCCAATTGTTTTCGAATTCTTTGTGGGTCTTTGTAATCTGAGGGAAATATGTGTCTCTAATATGGTCATACATTTGGCAGGAAGTTAGGAAGTGCAGCTCAGTTTCCACCTCATTTTGTGGGCAGTGTGCACATTGCCTGTCTTCTCCTGAGAGCCAGGTCTGCCTA